TCCTGCACTTCCCAAAAACAGATTTCCATCCAGCACAAACAGTCCCAGGTATAGCTCACTAGACCATACATCTCTTGGGATATGATATTGAAGCTTGATGCAGCTTGTCTTCCACACCAGAGGATGCTGCTTGTAGTAGGCATAATGTTTCCACTGACAAGAGCCAGTGGTCCCAACTCAGCCTGTAACTGTTGATGAAGCAAATAATTCTGAACTTTGTTCCTTATCCTGGAAAGGATGCCTTGCAGTTGCTGCTAATCTGTTTCAGCTTGCCTAATCTGTTAGTGAGGTTTTTCTGGGTCAACACTGTGAGCAGTCCTTCAGCTGTGTGCAAATGTGCTCAGGAGAGGAACACCTTTGCTGTGTCTTAGCTCTGTTGTATCCTCAGTGTTCTGTAAGTGAAATGTGAAAGAAACCTGAGTGATGGTTGTGAGTGCCTCTATTCAAGCTTTGAGCTGTGAGTGTGTCCACACTGCTGGCAGTACAAATATCCACAGTCTAGCTGGAATTTACAAGTTTGGCCTCTGTAGAGGACACCCATGACATAGTTTGTCCATTCAAAGTGGAATGTGAACCTGACAGTGTTTCTCAGCACCTTCACTGACCTGGGATCAAGAAAAGGAGTAGCTCTTTTGGCTGTGCTGCTGTCCTCTCTTATTCCTCTTCGAATTAGTAAGATTCTTCTTGTGGCTCCATGGCAAGATTGACTTGTAGCTGTGTCATCTTCCTCTGTTGTTAATAAGGATGTTCAGCTCTGTCTGCAGTGCACCTTGCTTATTTCTTCTCCAAGCCTGCTTTTGATCTTTTTTGGCTTTTTCATCTCTGATTTCTCTGTGGCTGACCCTTCCCTTAAGTGACTTTTACACAATAAGTTTTGTGTCAATCATTTTGTCACATCAGTCTGTGTCAGAGATGATTTTATTGCTGGGGGAAATTCATTCTCCATTTCCCCAGCAGGTGGTACAAGTTCTTTGTGCATGAAGAACAGCAGTTCTACCTCTGGGGATACTTAACTAGCTTAAGTCTCTGAGCTCTGTGCTGTCACTAGGGTCACACTTGTTGTCTGTTTTGTTAAAATTGTCTGGGAAGATCCCTGTTTCTTCCTAGTGCATGGAGAATTCTTGTGCAGGAATGATGCCATCTCTTGAGAACCTGCCATAGATAACTTTCAGATTTCACTCTTTGCTGTCCCATCACCAGTACTTAAAACAGTGGCCCCTCCTGGAGTGAGCAAGATGTTTTTATTCTCTCCTGTGCTTAGCATGCCCTGAGGGTCCATCTTTCTTGAAAAGGGTGACATGTTATCTGAGTGTGCTTCCTGCCAATGCTCAGCTTCATGGTGTTCTCCAGAGGTCCTGACAAGGTGCTTTACTGCGTGATGAGGACATGTTTATGTTCTTGGTTTTCCCTTCCAAACCTGTTTGGAATTGATAGGGTTTAAAAAAAAAAAAAAAAAAGCCTCTTCAATGACTTCCAGTTTGAGTCACCTCTGGCAATGCCAAAAGCAAGTCAGTTGAGCGTGGTTTTGGTAGCACTTCTAGTCAGTGCTGGGGCCCTCCAGGTGCTCTGAGGCAAGATGAATAGTGATGAAGTCACATGGAGGAGCACACATCCTCACCCATGACTTCATCTGACACTGTGGGCATGTCTGTGTCTGGCAAAATGACATACCAGTTGCTTACTAAAGACTCTTGCTGCTGCTTGGCTGAGGGAGTGCAACCCAGGTTTTCAACAGCCAGCCTTTCCCTTGCCTGCAGTGACCAAAGCTTTTGTCTCCCATGCTTCCTGCAGGCTGTCAGGAAGTGCAAACCAAGTAAAGGCACAAGAGGGGTGACCTACCCAGGCCTCCTCTTTGTCTTTTGGGAGTTAAGCTCATCTTGTTTCATGTGCAGTGCTGGCAGGTGCTCTTTTTGATCTTTCCCATACTGGGCTTCTGTAGAGAAGCACCAGTCTGCCAAGTTTCTCTTACTCCATGGTGTTAGCTTCCAGGCAAGCCTGAAATGTGGAGAACAGTTATTTAACAACTGCACAGGTAAGTATCTGCTAACTCTTCTCAGAACCAGGATAGCTGCTTGCTGGCCAGAAATGTGAAATCTGTGTGGGCAGCCATGGATGAAATTCCCTTGTGTTGCCTTGGGCTTTGTTGAGGTGTTGTGCTCATGTACATAGTGAGTTCTTGCCCTGCTCTTCTCCACCCCTTAATCAGAGTACTGAGTTTGAAATATGCTGTAGTCTCTAGCATTAGGAATGTCTTTTGTCTTCTGTTCCTGAGTGTAACTCTTACTTCATTGGCAAACTTTTCCAAATAGGTTTCGCTCCAGAACTGTAAAGCACCTGTCCCTAGTGGGCACTAATACATCAATTGGTCAGAAAGAAAGACTTGTGCCTAATATTCCTGCTGTCATTCTGTTATGATGTTTTAAAATTAAGGCCTGTGTTTTCTGTCAAGACCACCTTAAAACCCACAGGTGCTGCCTTTGTCTAGCAGGTGCTTGTCTGTGCCCATCAAAAATCTCATAAATTTGATATTCCAGCTGAGGGGTTGGGATTTGGTGGTTTTTTTTCCTTAAGCCTTTTTCCTATACAAGTTATGTTGCACTGCAGGGAAAGACAGTGCATGTCAGAGACCACCAAGGAGTGGGCAGAACTGAAGGATAAAAACAGAATTTGCAGGCATGGAGGCTGTTGAAGCCTCTTAAGTGTTACCAGTTTGTGTTGAGCAGCTTTTTGCTAGCTGCCTGAACCTCCTCTGTGGGAGGAACCCACCATGCAATAAACAAAGTGCAGAATGGAAAAATTTCTTCTCCAGACTGGTGGGGTGCAGGGGATCAGTTCCTTCTTCTTAGACTTAACTCTTCAGGTCAGAAACACTCTGTGATGTTACATGCTGGCCATCTGAAATATCTGCTTTTCTTAAATGTGGTTTA